TGCTTGTGCTCCTCGGCTGTCTAATTGCTCCTTTTCCAGCTTTTTCTTGTGTGCTGGCGTCTGTGTTGTTCCGCGTGGCCGGGGGAGACGACTGGCTGCCTGCAGTCTTGTGAGTCCACGGAGACGCTCTGTGGCCCGCAGGTGCTGGCCCCGAGGGAAGCCCCGTGTGCGTCGGAGGAGAGTGTGTGTCCTGCGCTGACGGAGTGGGGGCTCTGACCACGTCTGTTAGGTCTGACAGTTTGTGTTTTTGTCCAAATCCCTGTTATACTGAGCCTCTGTTGATTCTTCTACCATTGTTGAAAGTTAAGTATTGAATTCTCCAACACTTATGATAGGACACTACCCACTTACCCCTTAAGTTCTTTGTATTCTTCCTCATATAGTCTGTGGTTTCATTGTTTGGTTAATATAGATATATATTTAAATTCCTTTATCTTTTTAATGTATTGATGCTTTTTATCAATACATATTGCCTTTATTTGTCTTTTGTAACCATTCTTGACTTAAATTATACACACGTATTTAATGATTTATCTATTTGAAAGGCAGAGAGAGAGAAAGAGAAATCTTCCATCCACTCTCAAATAGCTGCAATGGCCAGAGCTGGGTCAGGCCAAAGCCAGGAACCTGGAACTCTATCTAGGGCTCCCATGTGGGTGGCAGGGTCCAAGCCCTTGGGCCATCTTCCACTATTTTCCTAGGCACATTAGCAGGGAGCTGGGTCGTAAGTAGAGCAGCCATGACTTGAACCAGCTCTCCTATGGGATGCTAGTGTCACAGGCAGCAGCTTAACCTGCTGCACCACAATGCAGACCCCAATTTAAAGTGTATGCTGTCTGGGTCGGCGCTGTGGTGTAACAGATAAAGCCACCGCCTGCAGAGCTGGCATCCTATATGGGTGCTGGTTCGAGTCCCGGCTGCTCCACTTCTGATCCAGCTCTCTGCTGTGGCCTGTGAAGGCAGGAGAGGTTGGCCCAAGTCCTTGAGCCCCTGCATCCACGTGGGAGACCTGGAAGCAGCGCCTGGCTCCTGGTTCAGATCGGCTCTGGCCATTGCAGCCATCAGCAGATGGAAGACCTCTCTCTCTCTCTCTCTCTCTGCCTCTCTGTAACTCTGCCTTTCAAATAACTACATAAATCTTTAAAAAATGAATAAATGAAATAAAATAAATAAAGTCTATGCTGTCTTATTTCACAAAGGTAACAGAGTGGGATGTGTTCTCCAGCTGTGGATCACGACACTGAGGTTGTAGAACCAGTTGAGTTGTTTCATAGCTAACATCAAGTCAGAACCTAATACCGTGGTCCTTTTCTTTGGGACTGTGTGTCAGCCAGCAGGCAGCAGGGGGCGCCAGAAACCCAGAAGAACATTCCCAGAGCAGGTACCTGGTCATCCTCCCTCCCTGAGGTGCCCGCCCTGGCTTTGTCACCATCTGAGGACGAGTCTGCCTGCCTCCCTCCCTGGGACAGGAGCTCTCTGGGGACAGGAACCAGGGGCTGCATTGGTCACTGCTGCGTCCCCAGGTTGTTGGGGGACACTGTCTGGTGCTGGGGTCGGAGGATGGGAAATAAGAGTAAACTCAGTCCAGATCATGGGATCTGTCACCCTCCATCCCACCCCGCCCTGAGGGCTGACCCTGGCCCGAGGCCACTGCGCTCACAGACATCACTCCCAGACACCAAGCTCCCAGCCCTGCAACCTCCACCAGGGACTTTGGGGCCAGCTGCCCACCCGCCAGTGAGACGTCCCACCCCTCCAGTGGAACTGAGAGACCTGTGCTGCAGGACGGGGGGCACGGGGAGCTCTGCCGCCCCTCCACACAAGCAGCAAAACAGCCCCGTCTGTCTCCTGGTCCCCCCAGGTGCTGCTTCCTCCTGGCTGCAGGGAGCCACTCCCAGGTGCAGGCCAGAGGGGAGGCTGGTGGACTCCCAGGGTCTCATCTCAGAAAGAATGTCAGCTATGCAGGACACCCTCTGAGAGGGAGGGGCGGGCTCTCCTCGCTGAGAGCCGAGAGGCCACTCCCAGTCAGGTTGGGAGGGGCAGAGGCTCTGGGCTCCACCCGCACCCCACATGCTTGCTGGCGGCTCCTGCCACCTGCCACAGGGCCTTAGGGGCCAATACCTGCTTGGCCAGCTAGGATCCCTTCCTGCCTATATGGTCGCACAGCGGCAGCGGCAGGAACAGCCGGAGAAAGCTGGGTGAGACCCACGGGAGGAGGCGCCTCTGCGCAGGTGTTGCGAGCCCCACCCTCGCCCTCTTGCAGCCCAGGAGCGAACGCTGCAGATCCCTGCCAGCCAGTGCTGCCTTTGGAACCCCGTTCCGCCCAGCAGCCTTGTCACTGCCTTGCAGAGCTAGGGTGGAAAAGCAGAGAAAGACAAAGGATCAGGCTTGCCTCAGCCCGCGTGCGTGAGTAAGCCGTGCCTGTCCTCCCGAAGCCTCGGCGCCGTTCGGCTTCTGCGGTCTTCTGTCTGTAAGATTTGGTTCCCTGACCGGGAAATGGACCGCGCTGGTCCCGAGAGCCTCCGCATCGGGGCGTAGGCGGAGCGAGGTGACCCCGGCGGGGCGGACGCCTTGGCGCCTCTGCCCAGACCTCAGGGAGAAGTCCCCCAACGGCGCGGGTAGCGGCTTCCCGGGCCGCCGCCACCAACCCGGACACCAGGAGACTCGGGACGATGGGACCTGGGGAATCGGAGGAGGTAAGGGTTCCCGGGACGGAAGCACGGTCAAGGGTCCCGCGGGCGCGGGGGACTAGACCCCGGACCGGCCCTGGTTTTGCGGAGCGGCCCCTCCAGGGAACCTCAGGAGAGACAGAGACGCCTCGCTGACCCTTCGCAGGCAGAAGGATCTTTATTCTTTTTTTTAAAATTATTTATTTATTTATTTATTTATTTATTTTTTTGGACGGGCAGAGTTAGTGAGAGAGAGAGAGAGACAGAGACAGAGAGAAAGGTCTTCCTTTGCCGTTGGTTCACCCCCCAAATGGCCACCACGGCCCGCACTGCACCGATCCGAAGGCAGGAGCCAGGTGCTTCTCCTGGTCTCCCATGGGGTGCAGGGCCCAAGCACCTGGGCCATCCTCCACTGCACTCCTGGGCCACAGCAGAGACCTGGACTGGAAGAGGGGCAACTGGGACAGAATCCGGTGCCCCAACCATGACTGAACCCAGTGTGCCAGCGCCGCAGGCAGAGGATTAGCCTAGTGAGCCACGGCACTGGCCTATTTATTTATTTTTATAGTCAGTTACAGAGAGGCAGAGGCAGAGAGAGAGAGAGAGAGAGAGAGAGAGAGAGAGAGAGAGAGAGAAAACCTTCCACCCTTTGGTTATTCCCCAAATGGTCGCAACAGCCAGAGCTGGGATGATAGGAAGCCAGGAGCTGGGAGCTTCTTCCGGGTGTCCCGCAGGAGTGCAGGGGCCCAAGCACTTGGGCCATCTTCCACTGCTTTCCCAGGCCATAGCAGAGAGCTGGACCGGAAGTGTAGCACTTGGGACTGGAATTGGTGCCCATATGGGATGCCGCCACTGGCAGCCACAGATTTAACTGCTGCACCACAGCGCGGGCCCTGAGCTGGTTTTTCTCCTCTGATAAGTGGATAGCACTCGCTCCACATCCCGGTGTGCCTCTCTGTAGTCCTACCTCCTCAGCAGGGCTCAAGGCCCACGGGCGACACGGCTGTTCTGGGTTGGCAAGGCTGCTGTCTGTGTGGGGAGCCCCGCTTGGTGCAGTGCAATCCCAGGGAGCCAAGACACAGGTTCAGATGGTCACTGTGCAAACAGGGTCTGTGCTGAGCTGCCAGCCCCAGGGGGGCCTGGGTGCTGTGTGTCCCCCCCCCCCCAGCTGCTCTGGGTCATGGTCAGGGAGACTCAGGGCTCCGTACAGGAGTCACGGTCTCCACACCTCAGCTCTGGCCTTAAGTAGCCCCGGCAAGACACCAACGCCCACTCCTGGGTGAGCCAAGAGTTGCTACAGTAATTAAATACGAGAGACAACCTCCCCTCCCAGTTCAGAGCTGCAGCCAGCCCTGCTCAGGCCCTCCTCCTCCCCCAACCCTCCTCCATGTGCCAGTGCCCACAGCAGCTCCTTTCGGGGAGGAAGTCGCCAAGGACGGGGCCCCACCAGGATCCACTTTGTCTCAGATGAGGAGGAGAGGGGAAGGAGACTGGTGGGGAATCCAGATCCTTCCACGGCACCTGGATGTGTGCCCAGGCCCAGCCCTGGGCCAGGCCTGCCCCAGCCAGCCATAGCCTGGGGACAGCTGTCAGGACAGAGAGACTGGGTGTGAAGC